AGGGTTGTTATGAGTTACAACTGACTCAGCAGCATACCAACTGACTCACCATCATCTCTACCATTGATTTTAAACCAGTCAGTGTCCCCTTGTATTGTCTGAGCTCCTGCCCCTTGATCTATGTACATATTCTTCATGAGCACAATTAAGTGTTCCAGAATACTCATTCTTCCCAGTGTTGTCCAGATCTTGTCTTGATCCACACAGTAGAAAGCCTTACATAGTCACCAGTACCGCTAGACCCCTATTTCATCCCATAAACAACAACAACAAAAATTGCAGATAGCTTAAAAAGTTAAATGTAAAAGGAAAATTTATGAAAGTATTAGAATACAAAAAAGTATGTTTTTAATAAATCTTGGGATGGGTAGGGCCTGACTTCATAGACACAAAATTAGAAGACCTAAAGAAGAAAAGGAGCTCTGGTAGCCTAGTGGTAACGAATTAGGCTGCGAGCCGCAAGGTCAGCAGTTCGAAACTACCAGCTGTTCCGCAGGAGAAAGATAAGGCTTTCTGCTACCGTAAAGATGTACAACCTCAGAAACCCTATACAGGGTCACTATGAGTCGGAACCGACTCCACGGCACATAACAACAACAACAAAGAAGAAGAAGAAAGGTAGGCTATTAAATAGAATAATTTGTCTCTGACAACACCATAATTTAAAGTCAGGAAATGAGATAGTATTTTAAATATAATTACAAATGTTTCATACCCATATTATATAAACTAATGAAAGATAATTCCATGGGGCGGGGGGAGAATGGGCATATTTCCAAAGAAGAAATAATTATCAAAAGATGTTCAGTTTCACAGAAACATCACAAAACATTAGGCAAATGCCTATGAAAACAAGATAACCCTTGGAGTATTCTGAGTCCTGAAGTGTTCTGTTTCTAGTTTTGGGTGCTGGTTGCTGAGATGTCTTCAGTTTGTAAATGTATATTTGTACATTTTAAAACACTACACTTTGGTGGCGTACTGGATTATGTTGGGCTGCTAGCCACAAGGTCAGTAGTTCAAATCTACCAGCTGTTCAGCAGGAGGAAGAGGAGGTGTTTTGCTCCTATAAAGATTTATAACCTCCAAAGCCCTACACTGGGGTCGATATGAGTCAGAACTGACTCAGTGGCACACAATAACAGTAACAAATTGTTGTTGTTATGTGCCGTGGAGTCGGTTCCGACTCATAGTGACCCTGTACAGGGTTTCCGAGGCTGTAAATCTTAACGGGAGCAGCAAGCCTCATCTTTCTCCCGCGGAGCAGCTGGTAGTTTCGAACTGCTGACCTTGCGGTTCGCAGCCCGATTCGTAACCACTATGCTACCAGAGCCCCTTAACAGTAACAAGTACTTATTAAAAATTTAAAAACTTGCTATAATGAATCTTTTTCTAAAGTAAAGTCTCAGTCTGTTTCTTTACAAATATGTATCTTCATCTATCATTTGTTTAAAGTAAGATAGACCAGTAATGAAGCCTTCAATTTCTCAAGCTATTTAAGAATATAATCAGGAATTTTTGTGGAGTGTTACTGTATAAGTTTAAATTTGTATAACAATTGGGGTTTTCTTAATATATCTTTCTCATTCCTGAAGCTCAAAAATAGTATGTTGTTGTTGTTCAGTGCCGTCAAGTCGGTTCTGACTCATAGCGACCCTGTATGTTGTTGTTGTTGTCAGGTGCCATCAAGTCAGA